TATGCGTGGTTCATATAGCAAATGCTTGACCATGAGACCTAATCAAGGCCTCGAGTTAGTCAACCAGATGAAGGGAGTGGGTAATAACGCCTCGAGTACCACAGATGGGGTAGAAGGGTTCGAGTGAAATACTTTAACTAGAGAGATAGCAGATGGATCCTGCGTAACAAGAGAGAGACTCTGATAAGGCCTATGAAAGGAGGATTGCGTTACTATATGGCACTGTTTAGCACACATTTGGTAAAAGGTTCGGCTTCACTTGTCTCTTTGACGAGTTGTAGTATGATGCTATCAATGGTAAGACTCACTGACGATGCCAACTACGATGCCGGCGAAACGTCTAGGAATTTACCGCGTCCACGGTTCGATTTTGGAAATGATCATACATACAATCGACTCCGGACTAGTTGCGTTCCTCTAAGTCTTCCTACCAATATGACCAATTTGCGAAAACAAGGTCAAACAACTTCTAAAGTTTATCCAGTTTATAAGATGTTTGACTTTGTTTGCGCAACTTAGTCGTAGATTCAGGAGAACCTTGAAAAGTGCCCTTTGCCTGGAGTCCATACTTCCCAGAGTTGGGCCGTGGACTTGGTACTTTCTTATTCTGAGTCTGGAAATTATCTTGCATATTATGGACTCCGGACAATTTCCCCTCAACTGAGGGATAATGTAACTCTTAACATCCAGGTTAAAGCAAATGTTATCAGAGCAAGATGAACTCACTGATGCTTTCTGGAACGGTTGATCAACATGTCATTCAATCACACACTTTCAACCTGATATAAAGCCAAGTTAGAACAGATATATTCCAAGAGTTTTCTCAAAAAAACATTTTTTGAAGGGTCACCATGCTGCGAAAACTCGCTCTGAAGGAATTTTTACTGGTCGCCGTTACGATATATTGAAAACATGTTATACACCCTATAATCACTTTATTTTAATTTGTTGGAATTGGCTCTCTGTATACAGATAGGCTAGTGACTCTTATTCTTCAGGACTCGACTTTAGGGTGACCACTAGCATCTCATGAATGTCTGGCCTATCGGACGAACACAATATTAGGCTGAAGCTGTGTAATACATAGTGCAACTCAACCTTGACCAGTAGAACTCTGCAATTTCGGCCTCGACAACCGCAGGTCTACTCTGACTGATCCGAAGATCCTCTACCAACTAAAGTTTAGGGTTGGCCGTCCTGATCGTAGACATCTTCGAGACACTCTGCTCAGCGTTCCAGACTCGGGTATTCATCTGGCAACATAATTCATTGGGCCACTTCATGTCCACGAATGGATGATGGTGTCTCGATGGTGTGACAACTTTGAGTGAACTTTGCCTTTTTTCGTACTCAGCCCCTCTGACATTCACATCAGCTCATTTTCAGACTGTGAGCACGACCATAGTATACCCACTCTGTTTGTGCATGTATTCGAGTCTATGAGCGTGTGTATTTGTTTATTTACCTAGTTACCTAAAGCACGAAGACAATAATGTGCAGGCTGATCGCCATACGAAATAGTTCGATCCAATTCTGCTTCTCGCTGTGTAGTCATGGCTTCATAGCTTTTTACTCAGCCGAATTTGAAATGCTCGGCATGCGCATATGCACATATGCATACAACTTACAAACGTGCAAACAGACTCACGCACACTTCGCAAGGAGTAAGATGTATGCCGATAGTATGTGGCGAGACATCTGCCTACAACAACTCACGCGCCCAGGCAACCATGGAGCAAAAGAAGTGGTACTAATACGTCTGCTCCATTGCTTGTGGATGCCCTAGGTGTGCCGACTATCACGAGGGCAGTATGACTAACACTCGAGTCATGCACACTAAAAGACGCATAAACACATGAGAAACGTATAGTTAGGCTGAGAACACAATCGATAATAAGATGAATAGAGCAATGAGTATAACAGTAGATAGGAGGCGACCTGGAGACACTTTTATGGATAAACCTATTGAGCAAGAACTTAAAAGTCACAGTAAAGATGTGCAGAAATGGTAAATGCATTAGAATACTGGTCGATAGATAGCTAAATGTGCAAGTCACTGGGATTAAAAAACTATTCAAAGGTGGTTAAGGGTAATGGATTAACAAGAGAGTAGATGGGTGTTAGGGTCGGCTATCACTAGAAGTTTAAACAGAATTGTAGACTAACAGACACATTAATTAATATATCATTAGTTAGATCGCTCTGGAGAACCAAAGATTGACAGATGATATTTTGTGCATGCATTGATAAGTCTATAGATCAGCAAATATATCAAGTTGAGGGGTTAGCCTGATACTTCAAGGGTTAGTCAAGATAATAGAGGTAAAAGTATTTCCGGATGGAGAATTTAGAGGGTTTATATATGTTGAATTTGCTTCGATGTACTAAGTAGTGGATAGATCAACGGGATTCAGGATGGATTTATCGATAGACGACAATGTATATATACATATATATATATATATACATTACAAATCTATATGTATCTATTGAGTGAATCTTTTGTGCCAAGTGGACAATTTTATAGGGCGCATTTTCAGGCTGACCAGCTGCATAATCCATCTGTCACAGACCGGTTTTTTATCGACTCACCAATTTATAGTCTGATACTAGGCCTTATGCTGAGTTACTACACTTGTTAGTTTTCTTTTTTTAATGATTTTTTCTATCAATACGATAGTGATAGACATGGCTGATAGATCAACCTAATGGTTGGTTCGCCTGAGAGTAAATAATTAAATATGCAGTTTGACAAATTTCCAGATCAACACTACGGTGAGGCGTAAAACGTGTGTCCTCCTGACTTTAAGGACTAGCAGACTTCTCGGTTGAGAGTAGTGAATATTTATAGATTTCTAGGACGACAGCACACATGCGTGCTTGCTAATTTCGCTGTTTCACAGCTTGAGAGATTCATTTACTAAGATTATAGTCGTAGAGGACACAGGATTGAGAGAATGAGTGATTTCAATGCTGTGCGAGCGGAGGATTAATGATTGTGCGGTTGATAACTGGATAACTCGAAAGGCGGTTGGGCTGACAGCGAACTAAGTGAAATGCTACAGCCTCTAGGGTCTGAGTCGTGACGAGAATCCTCATCTAGGTGAGGCTGGAGTTAAAGTGGATTATTATACTCATCTTGACGATCGTGATCGTCTGCTTAACCGTCACAGGAGAAGCGCTCTGTGCTCTCGTCAGTCTCATCCCCACCTTTACCGGCGTGATCTTCAGGACCGAGATCCGTCATCCTATGAGCACTTCCTGACCTCTTCCCCCCTCTGACAAATGACATCGTCGATTTTGTCTATGTCGGTGTAATGCTGAGACACAAGTCGATTTCCCCCCAAAGCGACTCATCCAGTCGCCGAGACGACAAAGGACAATACCTGCTACCGCGGTTCTCGAAGGCCCCTGAAGGGGTGATGCGGCGCCCACTGCCAGACCCCGACTCTTGTCCGACACTCAAACTCACCGCTCGGCCACCATATTCCATCACACGTCTTCGTGACCAACCCTCAGAAGTACGATCCATCACGGAGGAGACTGTCGACTGGACGAAGCAAGACCTGCACTTTTCCACGAGCCCAAGAGGTTCGAGACTCGTATTCCTCAATCCGGTAGGTCGGACTCGACTTCGTCGGGCCCCGGCTGTTGTCGGAAGTCCACGAATTCGACGCACTTCTGCCGGAGAGTTGGTGAGAGTAGTTGACAAGACTGCCTCTTCGTCCTTCCTAGACTGTGCTCAACTGCAGAGACCGGGACGCCTGAGTAGCGAAGAGGTGGCCATCCTCAGCCCGTTGCCAGTAGCGTCTGCAACCAAGGTCAACCCGGACTCAGGGCTGGAGGAGGCTGAGTCGAGACGCTGCGATTTGTTCGATAGTGTCGGTCAAAAGCGAGGCAGAAAACGGCGTCCTGAAACAACCGATCTGGTTGAAATGAGACGTTTCGGTGTACAAGAGGAGCAAGACAAAACGGGACTGGAGGATGCCGTGAAAGTCAATTCAGGCAATCGTATGCTCAAACCAAGGAGTCTGGAAATACGAGGATTCTCCAGCCTCAACGCCTTAGCAACAACACAGTCATTTGAAGTGCCGACGTCACCGGTCCACCTGAGAATGACGCCAATTGTGTCTACAAGTCGTGCCGGCCAGAGGCAAGAGGAGCGCATCATTTGTCTCCGGGCCCGAGACCAGCCGTCTCAGGTCAGGCAACACTGTGACGAAGAGAGAGGTAGAAGTGTGAGGCTGAGTAACGGCCAGCCGCGGAGTTTGGACGATACCGTAATTGCATTTGCCCAACGCCAAAGAGGCAGTCGGTCGAGCTCAGCAGGCGGCCAAGCTGACCATCGGTCCCTGGAACCCCGTGGAAACAAAGAACTGGTCCGGTATGTCTGGCATCCAGACGACCTGCTCTGCCCGACGGAAGACTCGGCCGGACATTTAGCCACCGGCCGCTCGGAGGCTCCAAATCGTCCAATCCTGCACTCGGCTCGACAGAGTAGCCTTGAACACCAATGGCAAAAGTCGGCAACAGCGACGGCAACTCCCGAGACCCCGCCGGTAGACTCGGGCTACTCCCAACGTCTGGGGCACTACTCTGGCCCGACAACAAGATTGCAATATCAACTGCATCCGCCCCGGCAACCCTGTACCCCTGTAGGGCTGTCCAGTCTATCACGTTTGTCACCGCCACTTGCACGAGGCCGGACGGGACAGAGTTGCGAAGCCCTCTTCACCACGACAGAGGGTCTCTTAGAAACCATGCTGGGCACCCTTGTCTCTTCACCATCATCTGTAGCACCGGCACCGCCGGTCTCCAGCCTGCCCACTTGTTCACTGCCCATCCGCCGGCCCTGTCAGCCCAGCGTCTCACATCTTGTCTCGCGTCCCGACACTTCACATGTGTCCGCTCGTATTGCCCGATTCTCTCAGGGCCTTCCGCCTTACGGCATTTCTGGGCTAATCTCACAAACGGTCACGCCTACCTGGCGTCGCTTCTCCTGGCGCCGAGGCCTCTCCGCCTCCTCGAGTGCAATTAACGAGATGGGTCAAGTCGCCGTTTCTCCCATGGCATCGGTTGTCACTCCGATAGTGTATGTCGCACAGTGTAGCACTGCCGGACAGATGACTGGTCCTCCAGTCAACGGCGTAATGGCAGCCAGTATAGGGTTGAGTGGATGGCAGGCTAGCCCCGGGTCGGAGTTAGCCATCAGTCAGATCCTGCATGAAAACAAGCCGCCAGGTGAAGATAGTTTGCTTTAATCTACCCCACTTTGAGATTTACACTTGATCCGTGCAAAATGGGCAGGGTGGAAATCATACCATAAAGAAGGGGTTTGACATCGTTGCCCTTACTTGGTCGTGCTGTTAGGGCGACTTAGTTGAGTGCACCTTATACGAAGTCCTTTGCTATAGTAGTTATCATAATTCCCAGCGTTGAAACGTAAGCTTTGAATATTCCCCCAAAGTTTCGCCAGCATCATAGTCAGCTGACACTAAACCATTTGGCAAAGGGCTGGTCAAGGGATTGATTTCACTTGTCTCTTTGACGAGTTATAGCTTGGTGCTGAGAATGACAAGATTCACTGACGATACCAACTACGATGTCGGCGAAACGTCTGGGAATGATGATAACTATTATGGTAGAGGAATTCGAACAAGGTGCGCCTAACTACGTATTTCTGACAACACGACAAAGTTGTGAAAATGAGATCAGATTACTTCTACACTGTTTAAAGTTTATTCATGCATCATCCACAATAACATCGAGCATTGTATTGAGAGGAGCACTCCTCTTTGACGTGGTATCATCTGCCGGCTCTTAGGGATTGATAGGCCTATTCGGACAGTACCGTTAAAGTGCTCAAATTTTCACCTACTATGACCATACAGAAGAAAATAAAAATAAGGAAATTTGTTGTATAGATAAAATTGTGATGGGGACGTTCGGAACCTGTGAACATGATGATTAAACTATTCGTAGGTCAGCCTTACTATAAGAGAAGGTGAAGATTTTCGTATTATAAATACTGAATCAACTATAAAGGGAACTAAATTATAATGTTAAATATATTGTAAATTTAATTATATGTGAATAAGCCTTAGGAGAGCCCATCTGCTGGTGACACTGGAGTCCTGTTGCTTTAGGGTTGTTTATTACTGTATAATTAATTACAAGTGCAGTCGGGTTTCCATATTTCTGGTAACAATGTAGCGAATTATATAATGCATGAGTGTGTCTGGTGAAGAGAGCCCTAGTTCGATTACGCAAAACGAGAATGAAGGAATTCTGTTGCTTTGCGGGTGTTAGATATTACAGCTCCGGAAATATCTACTTCTTGTAGTACATTATATAAGAATATATGTATGAACTTACGTGATACTAAGATCCCAAGGTCGACTTGATCTTATAGCGATGGTGGAATCTTATTTCTCCGAAATACTTTGGCTTTAAATTGTCAAAATACAATAAATCTTGCACTAAATATTGGGGGTCCCTATGTGGTAAATTTCATAGCTTGTGAATGTGACTGATGTCAAATACATAATTATACCTCAGAAGGAGTTTACGATGGAATTCTGTTGTTTTGAAGTTATTTGGTATAATATAAATAGATTTTGATATATTCTGAAATAAATAATAGCAGGAAATATATGGTGACTTTCCTATCGTGCGAATAGAAAATTTAAAACATTAACCCTCAAATGTTGATATAATCTAAAGACGACATTGACATCTTGTTGTTCTGTTACATCCCAATTCTAGCTTGACTTTAACTATATTGTTATTTACATATAGTATAAATATACCTATTAGAAGATCCAAAGGTCTATCTTATCTGAAAATGATGGTAAAGTCCTCATATTTTGCAAATTTTTGGCACCATGCAGGCATTATGGATATTCGGGATCACATACTTATGGTAAATAGGCTTTTAATATCAGATCCCTAATAGGAGGCTCCAAGAAAATTCATTGTAGAAAATAATGATAGAATCGTATTGCTCTGCAGGTGCTTGCCAGTGCATAGAAGGGCAAACATATCCTCGTGATTTCATAATGTCGGTAAATATCTAATCAATTTCGCATTGTGTAACTCTGCCTAGTGGAAAGATCTTAGTCTGATCTCACGAGAGAAAAAAAGGAATCCTGTTGCTCTACAGTTATTTGATAGTAAAAATCGAGTGTACCTAAATCTAGGATTACATAATTGTGGTACAAATAAATTTGATAGTCTGATTTGGCGATGCTGAGATCGATCTCGCCCGAATACGACAATGTCTTATGTCCTTACAGTTGTTTGCTAATAAAAACCTAATTGTAGATACATCCGGGGTAACTTTATGGTGATATATAAAACTGGTGAATTATACACATAAATGAGCCTTATCCCAAATTCGATAACTTTAAGTGAAACGATGGATTCATGTTCCTCTATATTAATTTGCTATTACACAAATAAAGTTCATACACATGTAGGTTTTATAGACTATCAGTAAATCATATATATGAGATGTGTTCACTCTATTTCGTTAGAGTGAGTTAGGACTGGTGGTTGGATTTTCCCACAACAATATTAGTCATCTTGACGTTCCCATTAAATTTCACATAGCCTTGCTTTCCAAAAGGTATTTTTATCTAGAGCGCATTTAAGTTTTAATCTCACCTGGATCTCATTAGAACCTCTAGCAAGTTTGACGACAGGTGGATGATAATACCTTTTTGAAGCAAAGCAATGTGAAATTCAATGGAACCGTATGGTCTACTCATATAATTGTGGAAAAATGTTACTACCAGTCCTTCCTCATCTCTACGGACTAGGGTAAATAAATATAAAAACTCGCACACTTCTGATAGTATAATATCGATGACTTTGTAGTGAATTTCATATCGTATGAATGTGCCTGTGGAAAAATCCATTGGTCGATCGCACCCAAAAAAAGATGGATTTATGATTCTCTTCGAAATCTATGTTTGTCACGAACATACTCAATTACATTCAGGATAACATAAGTGCAATTATTTTGTGAATGTGTCTGGTATGGAAACCCTAAAGTCAATCTCATCTGAAGAAGATGATGGAGTCCTGTTAGTCTGTCATCTATTTTCATTACATATCTAGAAGGATCTAAATTAGGGATTATATAATGTAGGCTTAATGAGCAGATGCCCAGGTCGATCTCATATGAATTCGACGTTGGATTCTTTTGCTTTGCAGCCGTTTTAAATCAAACGAGCAAAAGTAAGTATATTTTTGATCACTTGTTAACAGAAACTATGTAAGCATGTCTGATGAATAGTCCATAGGTCTATCTTAGCAAAATACGCCGATGGATTACTGTAGTTGTGAGGTATTACCACAACTATACTTTCATATATTTTAGATTACATAGTCGCGGTAACCATATAGTGAATCTGCTTGGCAGCTTTAATGACCAGAATATCCTCTACCCCAAACATGTGGTCATACGCCATTGTTGTTAGTTCATATATCGCTTCACTACCAATGGCGTAGCAGTCAAGTGACAGAAAAATACCTATCTATTGTAAGTATCACACTGCCTTCATTGCCATCCTTACTTATCATGGAATTAAATTCGCCTGAAGAAGCAGTTTGTTCGTTAATATCAGAAGCGATTGACGTGTGGGAAAACGTTCTGGCTATTTATATGTTATCTATTTTTGGTTGACTGAGCTTGGACTTCTCGATGGAAGCTCGGATTTTATTAGCGCCAACCGCCATCACCTCTAGTTACATAAAATATATTAACTATTCCACATTATTTTCCAATTTACGAATAGTCATGACAAAGGGAGCTTGCAAGGCATATTTGAGCATGTAAATTTCCCTTATCTTCTCCTTCTCTTCTGCTTAAGGGGCTTAAACTAATTAGCGGGGCATGAATTTGTAGTCCAGTACGTTTAAAAATACACTTGCGATGCAAAAATCGAGTAAAATTTTCAACAAAGTCGGTCTTATTTGGCAGCTATTCATAGAACTATAAACTAGCGTCACCTAAACAACCATCATCTTATGTATTCATGATTATGTTGTAGTCCAGATATTTAACGATACATGGAATCATATAAGTAGCTGAGGCTTATGCCAGATTTGCTTGATTATTTCATACTGACTGATTTAGATTGTGTGTAATTTGAGACTTTAAATTTGAGACCTAACTAGGTATTTTTCTTGACCACCATATCTTGAATAATACTTTGAAGAGTATATAGTAATTGGAGGTATGAAGACAAAGATAGTGTGGCCTTTTGTGTGGTCGCAGTCTCTTCGTTGTATAGAGGTTGTTTGACTCTGTTTTCTCAACTTGGTCATATTGGTAGGAAGACTTAGAGGAACGCACCTAGTCCGGAGTCCATTGTATGCATGATAATTTTCAAAGTCGGACTGTTGATGTGGTACATTTCCAGACGTTTCGCCGGCATCGTCAGTGAGTCTCGCCACTCTTAGTACCACACAACAACACGCCAGAGACAAGTGAAGCCGATCCTTTGATCAAACGTGTGCTAAACGGTTGTGGTATCTCCCCTTCTGCCCTGGGCTATTCACATTTCCTATATCCTATCACGCCTGTGCTGTTACAATTTTTACCGTTCTTATTTCGATGTAGTTTGGTGTGCTCCTTTGAACGTCATGCATGAAACTCTTCACACTCCACGCTGTCGTTCTCACCCCTCTTCACCCTTGTGCTGGGAATGTCGATCAGAGTCTGCCCTATTATTACGTAGTCCTCGTTCCCTAGGTCTTATCACAGTCTCTCTTGCCCGTAAGATCCGTCTACTATATCCCTGGTTGACGTATTTCACTCGACCCCTGCTACCCCATCTGTGCTACTCGAGGCGTTATTAGCCCTCCCCTGCGTCTGGGTGGTTAATTCGAGGCTGAATCCTCTGAGTAAGTCTCATTGTAACGCCTTTGCTACATGGACCACGTCTATGGTAAAACCTTCTGTCAGCCAACTAGATCCAGTCTCCAGCGCGTCTATCCTGTTTCTATCCCTGATACCAAGTCTATGACTTGCCATGTTCTATTCTCGTTTGCTAACCCACAAATGTTGTGGTACTGCTTGCTTTGAATAGGTTAAATGTTTAACCACGACGTTTGTGGGTTGGCACACAAGTATTTAGTAAGGTCGCTGATGGTAAAGGAAAATAAAAGTTCGCTTCGTCCTCAGCCACAATGTTAAAAGAATTTAAGAGAGACCTGATTTATCATGAAAGTCACATTTACCTTGATAGGAAAA